AAACGATATCGATAATAACTATATATTAATAATATTCTTTTCCTCTTGTATCTGTGTGTGCCGAGTTACCTTATTCTTATTCGTACTATGAGTTATAAAAACACATGCTTTATTTATCTCTCATGATTATGCTGTCCCATACTAATGTCTGTGTAGATACTTGTTAATGAAATGTAAACTCCATGTTCTCCAGCTACTCTTCGACATACAGAATGGATAACAAAAACCATACTGAAAAAAAAAAAAAACAACCAAAGAGATACGTGCAATCGATGAGTTCAATTAATGAAATAAAGCTGCAGCTTTCATATACATTGGAGAGAATTTATCAAATCATACAATATAAAAAAAGTATCTACGTTCGCATGCTACGGTAATAAAATACGTCTAATTCGATTTTTAAAAAATGCTCCTTCCAGCAACACATCTCGTTGTACATGCAATTTTACAAAAAAGAATGTTTTATATCGTGCTATGTGGGTTATATTATATACAGTGAGTTATATATATATGCTTATACATGTGTATATATATATATATCAATACGTCTCATATGCTTGCGTGGATAACGAATCAATCTGCGAGATGTGAGTGCGTCATTGGAAACTTGGAATGCAGAAAAAAAGTCAATTTATCTAAACTCTGAAATCGTTTAACAAAGAGAAAGACGGTGTGTATGTGTGTCAGTCAATCTTTAATTGTGATAACGTACCGGCAGACTTCTTTTCCTACGTACGTCCAGATCACCGTAGCCAACCTCGCCGCCAGACTATCAACATTGATAAATTAAATTGTCTTATAAAAGGCAGAGCGTTCGTTATTAGACGCGAACTATATATTAACAAATCGAGGGTTACAGAGTGACATAATGATCATGCTTGGCGATGCGAATTCGGATGTACAGGATGCAATTTCGGTGAGAGTGCCGTTTTACACGAATTTCCTAATTTTCTTCAATCTGCAGAAAAATGCAATCTTAACGTGAAATCGAACAATTATTTTGCGAAACTCTTGAAGCGTACTTTTAATTGTCAGAAAATGCTTGCTTCATGTAAGATCATTTTTTCACATTTGCAGGATCGAAAAATCGAGCTCACCAATATTGCGCCAATTTCGATAATCAATTCTACACTAATTAATTTTTCGAGTCTACAGGGTACTTCGGTATCATTTTCTAAAGGAACAGTAAAATAATGGGAACATAAAACGAAACTTTTTTAAGTTCTTAGTGCAATTAACGAAGAGATTCAGCTGATTAGTACGCATCCCGACAGTGTCCAGCGATTTGTACATCTAGATAAAAGCGATACTGTGAAAGAAAAGGGACTCTACGCGGAAACGACGAAGTAATTCAGTTTACATGCACAAGTCTACCCAAAGCAGACCTTATACTCGTTAGTTTAAGTACCCGTTTATTCATTAGACATGCAGTTTTTTCCTATATATAATTATTTTTTTATCACGTGTATATTATCGAAAATACGGACGACTAAATAATTATCAATTCAATACTAATCGAGCATAAGAGTATTGCTTCATTCATGCATAATCTTGTTGCATCAAAGTGTTTATCGCAATTATCAGTACAAATTATGTTTAGAGTCATGTATATAGTGCCGAGATTGTACAAACATATGAACATATTAATATATATTTGTTAAATATTATTACTATGTCGCGACGCGCACGTTGCATATACATATATGCATGTATATATATGTGCAGCTAATATATTAATGTATATTGTCTGTGTAGAGATAGCATAAAAACGCAGCTAATTCTGTATTATCTACATAATACTAGTTCGAAGTGGTACGTTTATCGTGGACAAGAATCATATCATACTTACATTACGTGTTCCATTGTGAGAGAGCCCTTCTATTTCTTCATCTACTCCAACTCTACAAATGTAAGAATTTAAACAGCAGTAAAACATGTTGTATAATAAATTTTTATCATTTGAATGGAAATAAGTAACAATGAATTAGATTACTGAAAAAAATTCGTTTTTCGTTTTTTTCTTTCTCTTGTATACTTTTGAGATTGATGAAATTAAAAAAAAAACAAACAAAAAAAAAACAAAAATTCTTCTTGAGCAATCCGATATTCGCAATCGATTGAATAACAATGAAAAATAATAATTGAAATGATAAATTACGAGAGTCACATTTAAGTGATTTATATACTCACGGAATATTGAACCAGCTTAAAAATTGCGTCGTTCCACCACCTTGCAGAATAACCGTCAGTATAACGATCAAACTCGTTGTAGTGAGCATAGCCTGTCTAGCATCTGACACGGTGTTCCTGATGGCGAGGGCGAAACTCATGGCGCCGCGTAATCCCGCGAAGAATAACATGTGCTGATAATTCAACGATATCTTTGGCTTTCGCGCTAGATTCAAGATGAAAGATAACGGATACACGTTAGCCGCACGACCCAATAACGCACACAACTGAAGACAGTACGTCAAGGATATTGATATTTCAAATTCTCATCAATAATGTATCCCGATAATCGAGTATTACATGTCGCAAAATCTTGAAATGAACGAAAAGCTCATCAGGATGTCCAGTGATGCTGATACATCTCGCATATAAATAAGGATACAAATCCCGCAAAGATGAAGCCGGGATCGAAATGGTGCTTCGGGAAGGTGAACATCGAGACGCCGATGTAACTGAATATGAAGTTCTCGGCTAAGAAATTCAGTAGTTCAAACAGCTGTTTCGTGCGCTGGCGCGAATCCGGACTCAGATTGTTGTACGTATAATGAGCCTGGCAAATTCCACAGAATAGAACAGCGACCACGCCTAAAATTTGATAAGAGCATTTGTATTAGACAGAAGATCAGTTTCTAGATAAAGATACTTAACTTTCCGAAAAAGAATTTAAAAAAATAATTAAAATATTAATTAATAAAAATTACCTGTAAGATCGGTAGCTTCAGCGATTAAGAACGTACTATAGGACATTAGGACAAATAACGCCGACTCTAAGAGAGGGAAGTCCCGCACCCTGGTAAACTTTGTCAGTAAGGCGGTAATGCAACCCATGGTAGCACCGATGAACAAAGACAGACTGAATATTCCTACAAAGTCTCCAAACGCCTGGAAGAATGCCACTGTCTCGAAACCGCCTGATCCCGACTGATATCGCTCGGCATAGTTCTGTATCGAGCTAAGGCATCAAGATATGTTTTCAATATTATACACTTGCATTACATCGCTGCTTGTATTAAGGAATATCTTGCACTTGCTCACCCGCTAAGTACAATGGCGACCGCATCGTTCAATACACTTTCACCAAAGACCAGAGCGTACAGATTAACGTCCACGTGTAAGTCATTAAAGATGGATATTATCGTCAAGGGATCCGTGGGAGATATCAGAGCGCCGAAGTATAGAGTGTCGAGAAACGTGAACGACGTGGAGAGATGCGGTATCAGTTGCACGAAGGCGTACATCAGAGCTCTGCAAAGATAATTGTTCGCCTTATCAGAGAATGATTCATGAGCGAATCGTTAAAAGAAAAACACGTTGGTTCTTTTATTCGTAACGAGTGGTGCAAAGAAGAAATAGATAAGCTCAATCAAAATATGACCTATACGCGTTACGATATGCGACAGCTTTTATAAAGACGATATTTCTCTTGTTGCTAAGTGTCCGCTAACGGCTAAGCTTTTTTTCCTAAATATAGAATAAATATAATAATAAATAAAATATAAAATAACTATACAGAAACTGCGCTTTCCCCTAAATATCTACAAAGAGGATAATAAAATAACGACAAAAATTAATTGAAAAGCTTACCCAACAACAAAAGCTGATATAGAGGTTCCTATCAGAGCATACATAAGAATTGCACCCAGATTTCTGAAGAAGTATCTCTGTAAAAATTCATTGTAAGTAAAAATTAAACAGATAAGAACTAGAGAATGTTTTGCACATTTCATTATGCGACTCAATCTCTTGATAAAGAAGCAAAACGATATACTTACCCGCTTCAAACTGTATCCCGCATGGAAAATGATGGGAGGTAGTATAATATTAAAAAATATTTCAGGATCAAAAGTTGCCTGCAATGATAAATGTTACATAATATCGATTGAAAATTATAATAACTTTATTTCGATAACTTGAAAACTAGCAGATAAGAACAGCTATCTTTAGATAAATAATTTGTGTCATTGTCACGAATGACTCATTTACCTTCAGGTCGATTTCATTATCTTCCTTGTAGATTTCGCCACGGAACGAGTATGCAAATGTTTTGTTTTTCACGATACCGCCTCCTTTGTCCTCGGGAAAACGTAGCCACAACGAGTCTGGCGGTACAGACTGATTGTACTTGCTTGTGTTGTCTGGAACCACTGGCATGTGCAGAATAGTACTGCTCGTCGTGAAACCATAGCGTATTATCGCTCCTATGATTAAACCTATAAAAAGCAAATTTCAAAATAAAAATAAATTGCAAAGCAGTTTGCAAATCTTTAATTTAAACAAGTCATTAAAATTAACAGTAAAAACACAACAATTTTACTTAACACTATCAATCTAGCACAGCAACTTTACTTAACACTATTAATCCTTAAATATCCAAGTACTTTAAAGACTATCTTCTAAGAACCTCACTGCTTTATAATTGTTCTATCAGAATTTCAGGACTTTTAAGTATGTAAAAAATACTTTTACATCATTATTCATATCATTAGTGATAATGAATTATATAGTCTAAAGTATTTAATTCCTATAGATTGATTTTTGAGGGAAAAAAATAATTTTAAAGAGAGTTATATATAACGTTTTAGAGAAAGAATGAAAAACCACCATGAAAAAGATAAGATTAAAGACGAAACAAACGTACAAAATTTTACTCGTTCCATGGATGAACAAAATGTTTTAAAGGTATGTGACAAGGGATGTTTGCTGTGTCATTCGCGATTCCTGTGACTAGAAACACGTTGAAAATCGTCGATAGCAGACGACTCACCGTAAATGACAGCCAGACCAGTTTCATGGAGGAACCTGAGGCGGCGGTGCTTGAACATCCATATCGTTAGAACGGTTAAGATCAGTAGAAAAGTATAGAGGAGAAGATTGAGGCTGTCTAGCCGGTGCAACAGCTGCGCCTTGGCATCCAACTCGATGTCCGTCGCCGCGCCGTTGCATAATTCCGTGGGAAAAATACAAAGAACTACAAGGAGCAGCAGACGTACACCGCCATTCGCCGCCATCTTCGCTCTTGACGTTTAGGCGATGTTGATCGCATTCTTTTTTTTACATCGAGCCAAGCTGGCCAACTCGGCAAAAATAAAAAAAAAAAACTATCTAGAGGAAGAAAAACTTGTAACGAATTCGGTTGGTATCATTGGGTGCACTTCCGTTTTTCAAAAGCTATTTTCGAAAGAGTTCAAAGGATCTATATGTCTATATATCTATATGTCTATGCTAATAATAAATTATAATCTGCACAAATATTTTTTATTATATATTATATTGCTTAAGAATGATAGTTGAAATATTCTAGCAGCATATATCTTGCTAGATGGATCAGTAAAAATGTTCTAAAATAGTTCATAATCACATTATGTTTATATATAAATTTTATATATTTTACATAAAATATAATAAATACATAATTTATCATATCTTATTATCATAAATTAGAAATTACGTTTGAAAACAACACTACACAATATATTTAATCAAATTATCGATATAATTTGTACTATACATCTTAATGATGACAATAAATGTTCTAAACGATTGAAAAAAACAAAAATGAATGAAAAATATTGTAAAAACAAAACTAACTTTGTATCGATAATTGCATGTAAAATTGGTATTTATTATTGACATTTAAAACAGAAATACAGGAAGGAGACACATATATACATGTATATATATAATTTATAACCTTCTATAATTATCATGCTGCTGAGACGAAGATCCTGACGTCACTGTCGAATAAATAAATGGCAGAACGGATGCTAACGCTAAACAGAGACCGATTATCGGTCGATACCACACCCAAGCGAAGCCGATCACCAGTAAACTGATGGACATGGAAACTGACATAGTTAAAGACTCGACTGCTATTATTCCACAAAGGAAAGTCGAATTTAATATAATGGTTTTTAGTATATTTGCTAAACATGTTGCGGCCACAAATAGAACCAACCAGCCAAGTCCTCTGTAATAGAAACAATATTATTTGATCATATTGTACAATTAAAAAGATTATATTGTTAATTAATTTAAAAAATGATATGAGTTGATGTAGTGATATTTTTATTTATTTTTATCAAACATATTGTACCTAATGGTCCAGGTTCGCCAGTAATTGTTCACATGCTCTAAATGGAACATCTGATCCACTGACATTTTGTGCTTTCGTTGAAGCAAAATCTCTTCACCATGAGATGCATAATATGGCTTGATAGTATTTTTCTCTAGCAAGCCAACCACTGAGTAAATGTCACCGCTCTTTCCTGCATAAGAGAATTGTATTCTGATATCACCCACCTACAAACGGAGTTTACTGTAATAATAATTTAATTATAAAAAAAGGAAACAACATAAAAATTTTTTAAAGAAATAATACAAATGGAAATGTAGATATTCGAACATGATAAAATGTCAAAAATGTTCTATTAACTGGAAATTAAAATATATATATATATATTCATATCCAATTTTTTTCGAAAGAAATTGTGAATAGATAGAAGTTTTTTTCTGCTTAAAACCTTCACTTATGATTATTTAATTATACATATCTTAGTAATTTTTTCTTATAGTTTTGAGAAAAGAAAACTTCTAATAAATGACATACTTGTGGATTCCATAAATCTGCGCTATGATAATACAGTCCAGAGTGCATCTTAATGTCCTTTCGTTCTGGTCTCTCATCACTCGTAATCTCCACAAAATCATTAAATTTTTTTTTCAATTCCATGCTGAGCGTAAATGCGCCGATCTTCACTTCGTCCGCGATCTGTATCTGACTCTTGATTGGCATTTCCTTTGGATTATCATGGTTGGTACGAATATAGAAATGGTCAGAGTCTACAAGTTTGTCCTTCCATTCTGTTGTATAATAGTAGTGCTTTTCATCCTCTGTTATTCCACCAAAACTAACAATAAAAATCAAAAGATTCAATTTTGAATATGTGTTAATAAACAATATAATGTTTATTTTATGTGCAATAATCCACTGGTAAAATTTTTATTTTTGTATGATATACTGATTGCTGTCTTATATTATTCACACCTTTGTTCCTCCTCGATTTCAATCCACTGATACATCTGAACTCTTCTTTTTAATTTCACGCTGGACATAACAACTCCATAATCTGGCTCGGTTAGTGGTTCAAAAACCATCAAAGGTCCCGATAGATGTACCAAGCGGCCTTCATGCTCAGGTGACAGTACCATTGAATTAGGAAGCACAGCAACATTGCGTAAAGCCTCGTCTAAAGAATGTGCCACTTTCACGGCTCTTCCCTTAAAAAAAAGAAAAAGAAAAAGAAAAACAGGATGCGGAATCGAGTTTTCGAGTAACATTACAGAAGTACTATATCATTCGCAAACCTCATTCCAAAATAGAAGGCACATCCCAGTGGCAAACATGATGGATCCAATTATAGCTGTGAGCCACGATTGTCTAAACTGCTCCGAGATTGTCATTGGTATTTGATTCATGGAGCCAGTCTGTCTTCCTTGATTGTGATTCTGGTGAAGTCTGTCTCCTCTCTGAGGCTGACCATTTTGCTACAAAGCGTACGCTCCGCGAGTCTATCTTGTTCCATTAGTCTCAATATATAATCAATGCAAAGAGTTAATAATATTTTTCGCAAAGAGAATTGTACTCACATTCGCGCGATACATCTCAATACCGATCGTAATCTTGGAGTTGATGATGAGCGTAAAGGATCTTGAAGTATTCGCGCCACAGATTTTACGTATTATACTAGACCACTAACAACATTGCTAAAGGTGATGCAAGGACAACCATTTTCTGGGTGGGTAGAATAATATAGGTTGGGGAAATGTTTAGAATAATACGCTCTATCTAGATTTTGATAAAAATATACTTAATCGATACCTTTGTAATGTATTTATTGCGGATTCTATCATATTTAATGAAAGTATCCAATTTTGTCTTTCAGGCATTTTTAACCGCGAATATACACGTTCATATTACGTTATCAAGAATCGGCATATCGACTGTCATGAAACAGCATCCTAATACGGTCGAATGCTAAAAGATGGCGTTGATGTGACAAGATGGCGTTGATGTGACAAGATGGCCGAAGGTTAAAGCTAGAGCTTGTCGGAGATTTATTCTCTGTTGTTATTTGAATCCACGTTTTATATATCATTGTACAGTAAAAGAAAATGTCAACGCGATGGTAAGTCTCAGTGATATTTAACTGATAATTAAGTGAAAATTCTTGACGAGTCAAACTTTAAAAATGAAAAACTTGTTCGATGAATGACTTAACCAAATTTAACCTAATTTTACATAATTTAATTCTTTATAATACAATATTATACATTTTTATCAGTATTATATATTAAAAGCATATACAAATATTAATTAGTTAATTAGTTATTTATATTATATAAAAATATATTAAAAATATATGAGAGAGAGAGAGAGATTTTATACATAGAATTTTATCATTTATTTTGTAATGATAATTATATGCTTTAAAATTGCTATGCAAATTGATTCAGGTATCCATTGTATCAAAGAGGCAATCCTCAATTAAGAGTATTTTTACCAAACTTCTGGATGAAACTAATTGCGCCTGGAAGCAAGCAGCTTCCAAATGTGGTGCAATTCCATTGCTCGATGGAGATGACTAAATACGACATAAAGAATTACTTGGAAAAGATTTACAATATTGATATTGTTGATGTGAGAACGAGAATAGCAATGGGAAAGACGAAGAAGGATCGGCTGCAGGGCTGCATTATTAAAGAGGATGACAGAAAAATAGCTTATGTTGTACTGGTTAGTTTGCAACTATCTCTTTGCTTTTGCAGAGAAGAATTTTAATAACAATGAAAATTTGATTTGTTTCTTTTAGCCAAAAGACCAATCCTTTGTGTTTCCCGACCTATTCAAGGATAGAAAAAGTGAATTAGATGAGAAAACTATGAATGAATCTAAACAAGATTTGCAGGAATTTGTGAAAGTTAATAAAGCACCTGGATTGCCTGGTTGGTTTAGAATTTAGTGTACATATATATACATATTGCAATATTTAAGGATTTATAACCAATAAACTGTATTTATTAATATTCCTATAACTCTTAATTATTAGAATCTTTAAATTAATGATGATAGATACAATTTTTGCATTACTTCTCGCTCATAGAACCTTGTTAGTGTCAATAATTCTTAATTATTTTTAATGTACTATTAATGATATGTTAGCTAATATAATTTGTTGTTATATTTTTCAAATTTCAATTTTTAATGCACATAATCTGATAAGGCTTTATTCAAATCCGATTCAAATTTCACGTTATAGTTATATCAATTTAACACTGACAACAAAATATATTTAAAAAGTTTGTAAAGCGGCCTCTATATAGATATTTATCAGAATCGATAAGCGACCGTATCGATCAAACAATGCCGCTCGCAATTTTCGAGAATGGCGTTGAACACAACCGCGGAAAGCAAACGAGCTGCGAGCTCGAATGCCTGCGCCGTTTACGGCAGGTAAATGACAGTTGATAGTAATTTAGCCGTTTAATTATGCTGCTCGAAACGATTAAAGGGCCGTAAGATTTGATGATATTCGCCGTTTCGGAGATTCCTTTCGCTATTTTCTAAGCTCGATCTTCGGCACAAGCGCATCCGTGGAGTTCATCCTCACTTGCCTTATCTGGACAAATAATGAAGATTATAATGGTAATGAGTTTATTTTAGTTTTTTCCAAACAATTTATTCCACTTTTTATATTTTATATTCCTTCTCCATCTCTATTACTTACAATCTCTCTATATTTTATCTTATTATCTTATAATCTCCATTATTTTTGCAAACATGAGTTTAAAAAGTTTATATAAACTTATCTTATTTTTAATTTATAAGCATAGTACTGTGTTTTGGAGCTTAAGGGGCTAGTCTATTTACGCGATATAAAAAATTGATGATTTTTAGGAATTTTTTTTTTGAAGGATATTAGAAATTGCTCTTTTTATTGTTTTACATATGTTTTTATTCATATTTAAACGGTACGTCAGTATTTTTAGATCTTGGATATTTAGCTTTTTTAGTTTTGAGCAGAGCAGTTAGAAATATTAACGCTTGCGATCGTACGACGATAGAGTGCCATTCATCGGAATGGATCGGGCGAGGATCACGTTCTGCACGGACGTGGACAAGTCCGTGATCGTGCATAATTTTGAGAAACGCGGCTGGACGCAAGTGGGTCCGGAGGATGATTGGAATTTTTATTGGTGATTATAATAATCGCGATAACGATTTCATTATTCTATATACTTTTATTATTACATGTGGATTCATTGTAGGGCCGTGACGCAATCCTGCAGAAATATCTTCAGCGTCGAAACCGGATACAGGATGGACGACAATCAGTACATAAACTCTTTTCAATTAGAAGTTTTTCTATCAATTTTATATAATTATTACATATTTTGTATTATTATTAATAGAATTGAAAATTTCAATCAAAGAATTTACTTGATCCATATTTTTAAAAAATGGAGATCGCGTGTTGGAAAAAAATATCAAAAGTCTGTTGTATATAACATCTAGTTTTGAAAAAATAAGTTGTTTGATTGTGCCAGAATGATCAATCACTTCCCGAATCATTACGAGTTGACGCGCAAGGATCTGCTGGTGAAGAATATCAAGCGGTATCGAAAGGATTTGGAACGAGAAGGAAATCCTTTGGCAGAGCGCGCGGATGGTCCAGGCAAATACTTGTACCTAGACTTCATACCGGTGACCTTCGTCTTACCTGCAGGTGAACCGACGTTCTTCAGAAATATTAGATATTCGAAATAATAGTTTCGAAATATATTACTTATTAATTAAAAATTATATATTTAGAAACTAGATTGTATAAAAAAAATCGCGTAGAATCTAATTAAAAATTCTACAATTTAGCGAATTTGAAAAAGAATTTTTTTATTTAAAAGATTTAAAATTTTCTAATTTTATTAAGCGGTTTTTCTAAATACAGAAAATTTATTGTTAAATCCTCGTGTCTAATTTTTAATAATTTAACAAATTATGTAATTCGTTTTCTCGCAATTATATACAAAAAAGATATTGTGTTTTTGTGTAGATTATAATATGTTTGTGGAAGAGTATCGCAAATCTCCGCAGAGCACTTGGATCATGAAGCCGTGCGGTAAATCACAAGGCGCCGGAATATTCCTCATTAACAAGCTGAGCAAACTGAAAAAGTGGTCGCGCGAAGCGAAGACCCCGTTCAATCCCAACTTGACAAAGGAGTCATATGTCATTTCTAGGTAATTGATTGCTTAGGTTTCAGTTATATATCTCAACAAGATTTTCAGGCAGTAAGGATGACTAACAGTCTCTTCCACAATAGATACATTGACAATCCGCTGCTGATTGGCAGCAAGAAATTTGATCTCCGATTGTACGTTCTCATTACATCGTTTCGGCCACTCAAAGCGTATCTCTTCAAATTGGGATTCTGTCGTTTCTGCACTGTCAAATATGATACCAGCGTTCAAGAACTCGACAACATGTACGTGCATCTGACGAATGTGTCTGTACAAAAGCATGGCGTATGTATCGTATGCATTTTGTATGCTTATCAAATTGTTCACAATAATAATAGGTATCCCGTTTCCTTGATCCGCATAGAAATTTTGCAGTGCTCATATTGTTTCTTCGAGGATATTTCTGGAAAGCATCTTCATATAAATCTCTTTATATCTCGAGAATCAGATAACATATAAAAAATTTTTGAATCAGAGATATTTTTAGGAGAACTAGATTATCCTGTTAAATTTAATTGTCCTGTAATGGGTTTGTAAAACAGTTTTCCGAATCTACTTTTGGAAAAACCGCTTTTAAGATTTTTTGATAGAAAAGTTTTTCTCTATCGAAGATAGAAAATATTAATTATGTATATAATTTGTGTATTTTATCTATGTGTGTATGTGTGTGTGTGTGTCTGTGTGTACGTGTGTATCCAGGACGATCGTCGAATAAAAAAATTTCAGGACGAGTATAACAGCAAGCACGGTGGAAAGCTGAGCGTGCAGAATCTGCGCTTGTATTTGGAGAGCACACGCGGTAAAGCGGTCACGGAGAAGCTGTTCGCCAACATTTCCTGGTGCATCGTACACTCGTTGAAAGCGGTGGCGCCGGTGATGGCAAATGATCGGCATTGCTTCGAATGTTACGGATACGACATCATTATCGACAACAAATTGAAGCCGTGGCTGATCGAAGTACGTGATTGATCTCCAGCTCAAATTTGTCGCTCTATTTGATTATTATCAACGAAATTATTTATTTTAATTAATTTCGTTATCGTTATACTTTTTTGTCGAGCCTTCTCGATTAATTGTTTAAAATTGTTCAATCTTTGCAAGCAAAAGCTTTGTTACAAACTTGAAAAATTTTGAGCATATTTAAATAGCTAAATTTTCGCTTCTAGGTGAACGCCTCGCCGTCTCTAACGTCCACAACAGTGAACGACAGGATCTTAAAATACAAACTAATCGACAATATCCTATCGGTGGTTTTGCCTCCGGACGGTATGCCCGAGTAAGTTACGAGATATTCATAACGAAAGATCTAAAATATATTTGCCAAATTAAATACGATTGGAACGATGATTAGCGTGAAATGGAACAAATCACCTTCCCCGGAAGCTCTGGGAAACTTCGAACTCCTATTGGACGAAGAATTGGCAGCTCAAGACGAGAGGGAGGGTTCATCAAACAAGTATCGCGGTTCCTCCCTCAACAAATGGAAATAAATATTACCTTAGTATATCATTATTCGCTTCAGATAAATAATTGACGCGTTTAACGATTTATTCGATGTTTTTCTCTTAGTATCTGGCATTAAATAAAGTCATTGCGACAAAATCGCTCGACATCCCCATCGTCTCCATATCGATTGATCGCGTCGAAGGAAGGAAAAGAATTCCGGCGAAGATGTTTTACATTAACAAACAATTTTATTTTAGCTGTACAAATATGTTACACAGACAACGCACGCACGTCTGTTAGCTACGTGAAGATGTAAAAATAATATGGACAGTAAAATTTTTCAGTCTTTCGCGCGTATGTCAAATGAAAGAGTAAGAATAATCATTTATCAGAACGCTTCTGTTCCCCTCAAGGCCATTTCGAAATCGCAATGCGAGGTAAAGGTCCTTGCAGATTTTGTACAAATATGATTACGTATATCATACAGGACTATCGTATGGTTTATGGCACAGTTTCCCGAAAACGACGATTACGCTCAAGGCGCGTATATGCTGAACAAACGAACGACAAATGAGCAAAGCGAATCCGCCTCGCAAATTGAAGCTTCGAGGATGTAGAATTTTTCACCTGCGTAATTGTGTAAAGTTTAGATTCCTCTCTTGTCGCCATAATAAATGCGAACAGAAGTTTGTGAAGCGGTGTCACATACGGAAGCCTTACAGATTTGATCTTTTCTGCATTAGTTTTTTCGTTCACTTGTCGTATATATCGTTTTCTTTACGCCAGGAACAAATGTATATGTATTGACTGACGATACGTCACTTTTTACATATACATTATAAATATTGTACATCAAAAACGCATCGATTATTGCTAAGTTTACAATTAACTTAATAATCTCTGTTTACGTGATGTTTACAGTCTAGTTTATGTGCGTGTGTGACTGTCGCAGACTCTTTGTAAATTCACTCTTTTTTACAAAAAATCTAAAGTTTTTGTAAAACTCTCTATAAAATTTCTATAACCTCTGCAAAGAGACTCGACTTTACAAAAAAAAAAAAAAGCTAAGTCTTTTTGTGAAACGGCTAATTTTACAAAAAGTCTGCAACCTTATATATATATGTGGTATCTCGTCGAGTTCGACAGTAAATGTATTTCACAAGATAACGATGAAAAACAATCGAACAAACGAATGAAATATTAATGCGAAAAATTAACAATATAATAAAATACTATAAAAGGCAAGTATCGTTTTCTTATCGCAGCTATGTACTTGTTGAAAGACCTAGAAATATGATATATAAAACCGTAGGTTTTTTAGAGTATATAAAAAAATAAAAAGTGTTATATATATATATAAATTTAGCAATAAAATATATATGAGACGCAGCCTTTGGTTAACTGGTGTCGATGAAATTGCAGATAACATACAATTAATACAATAATATAATAATAATAATAAGTCAAAATAATATGATATTAATAATACGATATATATCTTGATATCACAATTAAAAAACTGAACTACAGATAAATGCAAAGCGTCCATAGATAAAAAAAAAAAAGAGAGTATCCTCCTCGAGATATACTTATTACTCAATACTTTTCTGATATACTGCCTCAGATCATACTTTGCCTTATGTGATCATATACATTTCTTTTTTACAAATGTGATGCTGCGTGTAATATCTCATATAAAGAAAAAAAATTACGCTTAAAGTATGTATTTACAAAGTACCATGTGAGATAGAACGTTTCTCCCTCTGTACATCGAAAACTATGAAAATGTAAATAGTAGGCACGGATGGTATTATTATTATTAATATATAGGTAACTTACGCAAATAATATTTCCTCTATATATCAGTCTAAAAATCTTGCCTCGTTGCTTTCGAGTTTAAAACATTACAGGCCATTATAATAAATCATGTAATATATATGTATATATGTAATATCAAATTATATATTACATGTTTATATAATAACATTACATATATAACTATAAAATGATTATAATATAAAATATCCTATCTAAGCTACACACGATTATTTCCAAACATATCTCAAGTTAACGTTCAGTCAGTGTATTGCGATATGCGATCTTTCTGGAAAATTTTAATACATATGTCAAACTTTCAGTTGGATATTTAAAGCTTAAAGGAAGATTATTCATTGTCAAAATTTTTTTTACCTATGATAAAGGTTAAAAAATAATACAAATTTTTCCCCGTAAAAAGGATCGTTAACGAGTTCTCTTTCTATCTTACACATTATTGCTATAAGTCTAATTTTATTACAAATAATTTGAATTTTTGATCTCTGCCTAGTCACTCGTATGACTATCTTGGTCGAATTTTTCGCGTGCGATGGTTTAATATCGGTCAATGAATAAATAAAACGAGGGGTAAAAAAAGAAATACTGAAGTCCGTTAAAAATGCTATTTGTCTCTATGTCGAGACTCGTCTCAAGGCACTGGCGATGGCGGCGGCGGTAGCGGACTAAAATACGTGGACGATCTGGAACTGGGAGACGGCGGACAGCTGATCGCCGCGTCGCTGTGATAGACGGAGCGCGGGGTAGGCGGCGGCGGGAATGGCTCGCTTTCATAACGGTAACGCGCCGGGTAATTGCTGTCCGACTCGTCGCAGACATCGGTGCTGCACGGAGTAGGCGGTGGCGGTTGATTGATACTCCTATAGTGTCGATATGGCTTGTATCGCGACGCGTTGCTACTCGAGCAACGTGTTGAGCTAGCGATGGTCGCCGGACTCGGCGGCGGGTTCAGTGTCTCCTGAGGATATCCACCCGCGGAACTTCCCCTGGTGGAGCTAGACGCGCCTGCAATGAGACAAGAATTGCTTATATAGACATAATTCTTATAATAAAATAATAATGGATTGATTGGAAATGTAACTCGGCGTATTTCAAGTATAAAAAAAGCATAAAAAATATATTTACAAAAATAAAAATAAAGCCAATACGGTTAAGAATATATTATTTCTTTAAAAAAAAGAAATAATATTTATTAATTAGTGCGAAAAAAAAGTTTATATAATTTTTGCTTTACAGGTGCTTTAAGACTGAAATATACTTGGATTGGGCAATTCTGCTAAAATTGCACAGTTTTTTCTTCTCAAGAAATTTAAAGATGCATTACCTGTGATATGACTGCGATCGTAGCTAGAGCCAAGACTGCTCCCGTTCAGCATGGACATTCTCACAGTTTCCATCCCAGCTTTGAGACCTCCCCCTGCTCCTACGCCATCTTTCCTGTTATTTTTCTGCGAAGTGAACATTGGCTTCACCGCTCGATTATTGTTTGGTTTCGGTGATAACGGATCTCCCGCCGAATCATGCAATATATCGGGCAGACCTTCGTTTCCGGTAAACCTAAAAAAAATAATGATATAATATAATAATAATAATAATAATAATAATAATAATAATAACAATATATTAACAAATTTAATATATAATGCTAAATAATTTAATGTAATGTTAAATAACCTTCTGCGGCAGTAGTAGTAGCTTAAAACGATCGCGGCGACCACGATCACCACTATCAGAATAACGATGATATAAGTCATTTTGCCGATTCTGAATCCATCTCGACGTGCACCGGCACAAACTGACGATAGCTCGTCGCTACCGTCGGCACAGTCGTCCCAGTTGTCGCACACGGACCTCCCGGCGATACAGACGCCGTTGTGGCATTGAAATTGCCCGGACTCGCAGCAATTCGCCTCATCCGATCCGTCCGGGCATTGCGGCGACCCATCACACACAAAAGATATATCTACGCAAACACAAGATTTATTTCTCGATTTTCATGTGTACCTGAATTAAGGCACTATTTTAAAGGGTTAAAAAGAATCGATTTTTTGAAATTTTCTGAAGATATAATGTTTAAAAAATATGTTTTTCAAATTTCATTGAAAAATTCGCAAAATTAACGGAATTATGACGGCGAAAGACACATGTATATTTACCGATACAGCGGCTCTGACATCTGAACTGTTCGCGGGTGCACGAGAAACATCCCAGCTCGTCGCTGCCGTCCGGACAGTCAGTTTGACCGTCGCACTTCCAAGTGACTGGTATGCAGTCTTTGCCTATGACCGGGCTTGGCGCGGCGCAAGTGAAATGGTCATTTCCGCAAGCAGGGGCCGCACGACATGTGCGACTGTCGTCAGATAGAACCAAGGATCGCGGGCACGAGCAACGCGGCGACACAGAGGCACTGTCGTCGGCGCCGGTAGTGGTGGTGCCGATGCAGAAATGCGAGCAACCGCCGTAGTCGTTGAATGGGCTACACACATGGGTTTCCATGAGCGAGTCCTCGGGCGTGTTAACCGCGATGAGATCCGTGAGCGCGCGGCTTGTCGACATCAGCGCGCTTTGTTTGATACTCGAGCCGGATGTCTTATCGACTCGCTGGACTGCCTGTTACCGATTTATTACGTTAAATAAATGTACAAATTCTGGAGGAAAGAGGGAACAATATCCACAGATACCAATAATAAACGCAAAATAATGAAATATTATCACTTACCTGATCGCGATCGTACCAGTAGAGATGGTCGTAAAGCACAGCTAAATGGATTGGCGAACTCTGTTCAGTGGCAGTGGCCACCAAAATTCTACGATTGCTGCCATTGAAGTCGGCACACTCAATCTGTTTGCCGTAAGCCCAATAGACGACGTTCATCGCGGCGTCGACGGTCAAGCCAGTCGGCTGCTCCGACAGCTCGCCGGCAATCATATGGCGTTCCTTGCCATCCATCTTGCTGCGCATCACTCGCATCCTCTTGCCCACGTCTGTCCAGAAAAGCAATCGTTGCAACGAATGAATCGCGATATTACGTGGTTTCTCGCCATCGCCCTTCACCACGACACCTAAGGCCGAACCGTTGTCCAATCGTGTGACATTGATGGCGTCATTCTCGCTACAGGTCCAGAAGAGCAGTCTACCGAGCGGATCCAGCGCAAGATCGAACGGATGCCCGGCTCCGCCGGTGAACACCACGACCTTGCTACTGTGCTGCTGCTGTGTACGGTTCTCGAGGGCGCGGCGGATCGACATGGTGCGCCCATCGATCCAGTAGACGTGCTGCGTCACCGGGTCAAATTCGATCGCGCGGATGTTCTTCAGGCCTGGCACGCGCAGCACTACGTCCGCGCAATCGTCCGCCTGATTGGGCAGGTAACGCGCGATCGCGTTGCGCAAACTGTAGATCATAAACTGCCGGGGCGCTATGCATGTCCGATTATCCGATGATAATGTGTAGTGCGTAGGACAGGCGCATCTGTGCGCAACAGAGACGCCGCCGTTGTTCGGTCCCGGTAGAGCGATGCAGAGATGGCTGCAATTACCGTTCGTGATCGCGCACGAGTTCCAGCCGGCCTGTCTCGATTCGTGAAACACCTTCAGATCCGTCACTGACTCCAGCTTGTCGTGGAGTTTGGTTCGGTTCGCCCCGGTGAGCTTATCCGCCCGCTCAATATCGTCCGTGTTCCAGTCAGTCCAATAGATATAATTCCGATACTGCGTGATACTGAAGGGATAGCCTATGTCGCGTGAGATAATCACCTCTCTTTTTCGTGTAAGAAGATCGTAACAGTCGATCGCGGGCGTAGAGACATCGGCCCAGTACAGTTTGCGCGCAACGTGATCGAGGGTCAGACCGTTCGCTCGGCCGATGTTTGAGACAGTCACCTGTCGTTGCGTGCCGTCCAATAAAGCTCTCTCTATACTGCCGAAATTACCCCACTCGGCCCAGTACATGTGGCTAGCGATAAGAAAATAAAGATCAAGCTAGACTCTATCGAGTCGTGATAGATATTCAAAGATGATACAGATAATATAGACTCACCCTTTCTCAGGATCTAGAGCTAGAGATTTGGGCTCGATGAGGTTTTGCCACACGAGTACCTTCCTGCTGCCACCTTCCAATCTGATCATCTCTATCCTACGCATGTTGGTATCACTCCAGTAAAGATTGTGCGCGATCCAATCTAACGCGAGACCTTCCGGCGATTCTAGGCCAAGATCGACCACCCTTTCCATGTCCGATCCGTTCATAAAGGCACGTGTAATGGCTTTTATTTTAACATCCGTCCAATAAATACGATTCTCGAGTAAATCAAAGTCCAAGGCGCTAGAGAAAGCAAAACAAGTAATATAAATAACATGTTTGTCTATTAAGAAATGCAGTTAAGATGCAGAAAAACAGCGCATTTTATTATTATATACTAAATGGCGAATATAAAAATCAGTCTTTAAAAAAAACTACAAACGCTTTGAAAAATCTTTCTTTGCAGAAAATGTAGATTTGCTCCTTTTTTTATATAAATAAACATTTTAACACATTTTACATTATTTCATCTAAAAATATTCAATTAAATGTTCCAGATGTACTAACCTGGCTTCTTTGATACCAGTGACAGGTATAATATTATCGTTATTGGTATTCTCGATACTGATTCGGCCGAGGTTCTCTCTCCTAGCATACACCAAAAAGGCTTCCGGCACGATGCACGTACGCTTGTCTTTGGTTAATTCGTAGCCGATCTGGCAGGCGCAAACATATCTGTAAGTTTAAAATTTTATGTTACAATTTCTAAATATAAAATTCACGATACGCAAACTAAACATTTTATTCATCATACACATATATATGCATGGAGGAAGATCTTGCCAAGAATTTTTCATACGGTTCTGACAATATCCATCGTACCTGTTGTGAGGCTTGTTAAGACAAAGATGGCTGCAACCGCCGTTGTCGCGAGCGCACGGCGACTTGCTGGTACTTAGTCGGCCGAGATGTATGGCCTTCAGTCCCATGACGTTAGGCACCTGGTCGACGATGACTTCCCGATCACCGCCGGTGAGTTTATGCGCCCGATCAATGCTACGTCGCTGCCAATCAGTCCAATACAGATAATCGCCCAGCAGACTCAGACCGAACAAGTGCGGCAGATTGTCGGTGATAATCTCGCGCCGATCAGTACCGTCCATATTGGACATCTCGATCTTATCGGTCTTGGCGTCGCACCAGTAGATCTTTTCACGCTCGAGGTCCAACGCGATGCCGTTCGGCCAGACGATGTCCTTAGTGATGATCGCTACTCGCCCGGTACCGTCAAGATGGCTACGCTCGATCTTGGGCCGCTTCTCGTTCCAATCAGTCCAGAACATCAAGCCGTGCTCGGGCGCGACTGCGATCGCCCGCGGCTCGATGAGATCTTCGTTTACCAACACACGCCGATAGGTGCCGTTCAATCGTGCCACCTCGATCCGATCTGTTCCGGTGTCGGTCCAATACAGATTGCGGGCGATCCAGTCTATCGCGACTCCGTCCGGATTCACCACCTGTAGGAACCGTAAAAAGATAGCTGTGAAGACAGAATATGAGATGTAAAAAAAACTATTATTTTCAAAAAGAAGAATATTCAAACCTCCGCGACGATTACGTCTTCCTGACCCGATCCGTCCAAATAGGCGCGTCTGATGGCGCAAGCTTGCTCGTCGGTCCAATACAGCATTTTGTCCACCGAATCGAAGTCGATCGCGATCGCATGCTTGATGCCAGTGAGCGGCAAGACAAAGTTGGTGTAATCGGGCGAATCCAGGGATATTCGACAGATCTCGTTTCGCTGAACGATCAGCAGCAGCTCTTGCGGTCCCTTGGCGCACGTGTAACGGTCCAGCAACTTGACGCCCGTAGGACAAGCACAACTGTAACCGCGCTCTCCCATGCTTAGTAAACACAGATGGGAACAATTGCCGTTGTTCACCCTGCAGGGATTATCACCGTAGGGCTGTCTTCTCGCGTCCCAGACTTCAATATCTCCTAAACAGCAAAGTAAGAATTTATTAATATATATGAAAAATCGCAACAAACACGGAAAAGATATATTTACTATATACAGTCTACTGATACAAATATTAAAAACGTTATCCTTGATTCAAAAATATGCTAAGCATAATTTTAAAAGACAAATATAATGTGTCAGTAAGAATTTTAGTAAATACTTTCTCTCAAGATATTACATATAAGTGTACCAGGTATATATTCGCCGTGAAATAACTCCCGCGGATGTGATTGCGATTGGCGCATGTCGAACGTGTGGATACACCAAGTTTTCCAATCGGTCCAGTAAAGCCGATTTTCGAAAAAGGTGATGGCGAACGGGTATTCCAGACCATGGCCAATTATCGTGCGTCTACTGCGACCGTGGTAATCCATCACGGCGATGAACGACAATCTACCGTCCGCCCAATAGATGAGTTCGCTTTCGTAATCCACCGTTAGGCCGTTCGGCCAGAATATGTTCTCGGACACGATTACCTCGCGCGTACTTGGATCACCATCCATGCTGGCGCGCTCGATTTTAGGTATGTCGCCCCAATCGGTCCAAAAGAGGAGATTCCGCATCGGCGCCAGGGCGATCGCGCGCGGCTGATAAATGTCCGTCCAGAAGAGCACCTTCCTGTGATGACCATCGATACTTGTCACCTCGATCCGATTCTTCTCGCCGTCCGTCCAATACAGCTTGCCTGTATACCAGTCACAGGCAAGACCATCGGGCGATATCAAACTGGAGTTCACCACAGTTATTTTCTCGCCTGTATACGTGCCATTGAAGAATGAACATTGTATCATCTCCAGGCCACTATCTGACCAGCAGATCAGCTCGCGCTCATAATAAAAATCAAGTGCTGCGCCTTCCGACAGATCTTTGACAACAACACTGACTTTGTTGTTGCGAGACACATTGGCCATTCTAATATCCTTATGTGTGGCAAAGATAACCATAGGCGAGTCTGAAAATAATAACAACAATAATAGTTTTGTTAAAAATATAAAAAAAATATTAGAAATATAAAAAAATATTTTTAAAAATGTTGAGTTTAAAAAAAGAAGAAGAAAGAGACAAGAACTGATAGACTAATACGTACGCAACAACAGATTACACTTACCATGGCTAGAAGACGTGTCGCACCATGAAATGCAAACGACAACAAACAAACCACTCCACCAGATCATGGTATAGGCCATTTTAAGTGCATAGTTCACGTATCCTCCCGAAATATCGGTACTCAAAAGTTGGCACGGTCGCAACCACGTATCATCTCGTCGTCGTCGTCGTCGCGTGGAAGACAGAAGCGTCTCGAAATAGCGCTACGTCCACCTTCGTCGCGTCCTCTCCGGCCATTCACGCGCGACGAAAAACCAAACAATCGCACACCATCGCCATATATCGTACGACGCGTTTTCGAACCATCGAACACATTACGAACACAGATGGTAGAGTCGATGGTCGATGTCGATATCCTGGTAACATTGATTAATCGGGCATACCGATTGGCTATCGAATAGAGAAATTGTAGGATCCCAAAAATCTCAACCTCGGCAACTTCACTCCGCTCACGCGAGATTTACAATGAACCAGCTGCTAGTTGTCGTTATCGCGGATTATCACGACACGATAACGATGCATGTTCGCGGACGTACGTGAGGTTGATTGACGGTTCCCACCGTGACAACGCGACGACGGGGACGACGACGGCAAAGGCAAAGGTGCCGCGAAGGCACGTGCGGATCAGCTGATTGGCGGAGATCCCGAGACTTGACCTCGGCTCGCGTATCCATCATCTTCAGTCACAGGTCGATCATCGTCATGGCGGGCTTTGTACTCCGGGTAAAAACCAAGTCGGGTCACAAGATCGTCAACGGCCTCGCGCCCCACGACAAGGTGTCTCAGCTGAAAGCAAAGCTCGCCGAGCTCACCGGCATCCCTGTCGCCGCTCTCCACGTACTCGTCGGTTTTCCACCCAAGCCCATCGATTTGGACGCGGCCGACAGCACCATCGAGCGCATCGGCATCATCTCCGGGGACACCCTCATCGTCGAGGAGAAACAGGTTTGCCATATGATCTAATTAGAGTAGATAAAGAGACGGACATGCATTCATTTTTTTGGAGTACAGATAAATAGTAGATAAAGAGACGTTATGTAATTCGCGATCACATTCATATTTCGTTGACATAAGAAGTATTAATGCGATCATAAACTTTCTCGAATCAGCCATTTTTTTCAAGTAAAATATATTAAAAATTGGATATATCATTCTTTCTCATATCTTCCTTCCATACATTTTCTTTTTTTAAAACTGGAAATACAAAAATAGGAAATTAAAATTAGACTCGTAACCTGAGAATTATTTGTTTCAGTTATTCCTGTTTTTATCTAAGCTTGAACGAATGAAACTACTACTTATCATATTAGGAGATTTTACATTTAATTATTTTATTTAATATCAAGAGGAGAATTATCTCATATAAATATCATGTGCAGATTATGTTCAATATACCCAACGATTTTGGCCGATCGCACATTGTCGACCAGGAAAGTTTTACCAATGCTCCCGGTGTCCTTATGAGGAAAGTCGTGCCTGCAGACAATTCTTGCCTCTTCACCAGTGTGGGTTATGTTCTGAATGGTGAGAAAGCGCTAAAAGATATTTTTAGAATATAAAGCGAATCATCTAAAATAAAATATTTTAGTAACTTTTTTTAATATGAAGAAATAAATGTTAAAAATATAATTTGTATAATTTTAAGAAGTAAATATTAAGTTTTTAAGAACTGCATGAATTGAATGTCACAAATAGCTGAAAATATCAAGGGAAAAGTAATAATCCAAAAATAATTCTAAAGTTGCGAGAATTTGCAAGTGAAAATATATTTGCTAAAACAGAAAGCTATAAATCATAATACTGTTGTCTAATGCTTCTTTAGGGAAAGTTGATACCAGTTGTGCCAGTTTCATGAGGGAGATCATAGCAAACGCGGTGGCGGCGGATCCAGACGAATACTCGGAAGCATTTCTGGGCAGACCCAATGCCGATTATTGCAAGTGGATTCTCAAAGCCGATTCCTGGGGTGGCGCCATCGAATTGTCAATTCTATCCAAATTTTACGGCTTAGAAATAGCGGTGATCGACAGTATTAACGCGATCATCAACAGATTCGGCGAGGACCAGCATTATGCCCAGCGGGTTTTCCTTATATTCGACGGTATCCATTACGATCCACTCTACCTGGAGCCGCTTGATGTAAGTTTCTTCGATACTGTCAGTATTTGAAAATTTTTTAGCATAAATTCTCTCAGATTTTATCAAAATATAAAAGGATATAAACAATTTTTTTCTTTTTTTCTGAATATTTAGACAGATCTGTCAATCTGTAGATTTAATACTTTTTTTTATGGATGGTTTCACGACTTTTTCGCGTTTTCTTTACCAGGGTGGCAGCATCCAAACGATCTTTCCTACCGAAGATGAGAGGATGTTGCTGGAAGCCGCCCAGCTCGCAAGAGAAGCGAGATCGAGTCGTCAGTTTACGGATGTGCAAAAGTTCACGCTGATGTGCATTGACTGCAAGATTAGACTGAACGGACAAACGGCGGCGCAACAGCACGCTAAAGATACTGGTCACACGAATTTTGGCGAAGTGGCAGCATAGCCTCGTATCGTCTGCTCATTTTATCAAACTCTTCGGTGATTATCCTTGACCCTAAACAGTATACAGCGATCTTCTCTTCGATTCAAAGACATTATCTGGATGTTCTGGGTTAACTCATTTATTCACGCTGCTGCAACTTTAATATAAGTACTTATTACTACAGATTTTTTGTGTACCACAAAAATCGGAGACGAGAGTTTCGTGCGTGTGCTGGAAGAGAGAAGAGCAAAAGAGAAAGAGAGATAGGATCATGAGTGATATTATTTTTATAAATTATATTGAAACGTACATTGTGCAGTTATATGCTAGGTAATAATTTCAATAACTATTATATATTTTTTAGGTATTAAAATTTGTAATAAAATTTTTTATTGATATTTACATATATATATATATATATATATTTGTGTGTGTGTGTGTATGTATGCGCGCGTACCAAGTCGGGTCACAAGATCGTCAACGGCCTCGCGCCCCACGACAAGGTGTCTCAGCTGAAAGCAAAGCTCGCCGAGCTCACCGGCATCCCTGTCGCCGCTCTCCACGTACTCGTCGGTTTTCCACCCAAGCCCATCGATTTGGACGCGGCCGACAGCACCATCGAGCGCATCGGCATCATCTCCGGGGACACCCTCATCGTCGAGGAGAAACAGGTTTGCCATATGATCTAATTAGAGTAGATAAAGAGACGGACATGCATTCATTTTTTTGGAGTACAGATAAATAGTAGATAAAGAGACGTTATGTAATTCGCGATCACATTCATATTTCGTTGACATAAGAAGTATTAATGCGATCATAAACTTTCTCGAATCAGCCATTTTTTTCAAGTAAAATATATTAAAAATTGGATATATCATTCTTTCTCATATCTTCCTTCCATACATTTTCTTTTTTTAAAACTGGAAATACAAAAATAGGAAATTAAAATTAGACTCGTAACCTGAGAATTATTTGTTTCAGTTATTCCTGTTTTTATCTAAGCTTGAACGAATGAAACTACTACTTATTATACTAGGAGATTTTACATTTAATTATTTTATTTAATATCAAGAGGAGAATTATCTCATATAAATATCATGTGCAGATTATGTTCAATATACCCAACGATTTTGGCCGATCGCACATTGTCGACCAGGAAAGTTTTACCAATGCTCCCGGTGTCCTTATGAGGAAAGTCGTGCCTGCAGACAATTCTTGCCTCTTCACCAGTGTGGGTTATGTTCTGAATGGTGAGAAAGCGCTAAAAGATATTTTTAGAATATAAAGCGAATCATCTAAAATAAAATATTTTAGTAACTTTTTTTAATATGAAGAAATAAATGTTAAAAATATAATTTGTATAATTTTAAGAAGTAAATATTAAGTTTTTAAGAACTGCATGAATTGAATGTCACAAATAGCTGAAAATATCAAGGGAAAAGTAATAATCCAAAAATAATTCTAAAGTTGCGAGAATTTGCAAGTGAAAATATATTTGCTAAAACAGAAAGCTATAAATCATAATACTGTTGTCTAATGCTTCTTTAGGGAAAGTTGATACCAGTTGTGCCAGTTTCATGAGGGAGATCATAGCAAACGCGGTGGCGGCGGATCCAGACGAATACTCGGAAGCATTTCTGGGCAGACCCAATGCCGATTATTGCAAGTGGATTCTCAAAGCCGATTCCTGGGGTGGCGCCATCGAATTGTCAATTCTATCCAAATTTTACGGCTTAGAAATAGCGGTGATCGACAGTATTAACGCGATCATCAACAGATTCGGCGAGGACCAGCATTATGCCCAGCGGGTTTTCCTTATATTCGACGGTATCCATTACGATCCACTCTACCTGGAGCCGCTTGATGTAAGTTTCTTCGATACTGTCAGTATTTGAAAATTTTTTAGCATAAATTCTCTCAGATTTTATCAAAATATAAAAGGATATAAACAATTTTTTTCTTTTTTTCTGAATATTTAGACAGATCTGTCAATCTGTAGATTTAATACTTTTTTTTATGGATGGTTTCACGACTTTTTCGCGTTTTCTTTACCAGGGTGGCAGCATCCAAACGATCTTTCCTACCGAAGATGAGAGGATGTTGCTGGAAGCCGCCCAGCTCGCAAGAGAAGCGAGATCGAGTCGTCAGTTTACGGATGTGCAAAAGTTCACGCTGATGTGCATTGACTGCAAGATTAGACTGAACGGACAAACGGCGGCGCAACAGCACGCTAAAGATACTGGTCACACGAATTTTGGCGAAGTGGCAGCATAGCCTCGTATCGTCTGCTCATTTTATCAAACTCTTCGGTGATTATCCTTGACCCTAAACAGTATACAGCGATCTTCTCTTCGATTCAAAGACATTATCTGGATGTTCTGGGTTAACTCATTTATTCACGCTGCTGCAACTTTAATATAAGTACTTATTACTACAGATTTTTTGTGTACCACAAAAATCGGAGACGAGAGTTTCGTGCGTGTGCTGGAAGAGAGAAGAGCAAAAGAGAAAGAGAGATAGGATCATGAGTGATATTATTTTTATAAATTATATTGAAACGTACATTGTGCAGTTATATGCTAGGTAATAATTTCAATAACTATTATATATTTTTTAGGTATTAAAATTTGTAATAAAATTTTTTATTGATATTTACATATATATATATATATATATATTTGTGTGTGTGTGTGTATGTATGCGTGCGTGATGCGTGTATGTGATGTGTGTTGTACACATATATATATATTATATGTATATATCTAGAATTATATCTTAAAAATATTTATGCAATATATATTGTTTGATTTGTATTATATAGGGCAATTTTGTATAAATATCAAGAGATATTTTATACTGTTTAGGATTAAAGAAATGCCGTTTCTCGTAGCTAGGCGCGATAATTACATCATGTTTTCTACTCGAGCAAAATACAATTTATAAATAGCAACATTATCATTAGGGCGAATCGTTTGCAATGCACTCTCTCTATTGAGAATTGTTAATGCGCATAATACACAAGTTATTGATTTTGATTAAATATCGTTTTATTTTCGATCTCTGATTCCAGATTGTTCGTCTCAGAAAGCGTACATTATTTTAAATCTTAATGTCCCTTGTAAATATCTAAAAAAAAATTTCTTTCATTTCTATTTGTATACATGTATATATAAATATTGAGATATCTGGCTTTGTCTGAAATCCACAAAACTTGTTTAGACGAGCGATCTTCACATCAGACGCGTGATCGGTAAATTTTTTTTATATATACGCGCGCAGACGTTTATATACTGTTAGCGATCTAGTATAATGTATAGAATCTATGGATAATCTCAATTTCTAGTAATATTTTTGCCCCTAGTAAATTCTCGCCTGTTCTTGTCATAGATTTTCTTTACGAAAGACGAGCGAATCTTATTCTCGCAGCATCGCTATATAGCGCCGACTGACGCAAGGTAACGGAAACTCCTCTGTAATTTATCCGGTATTCGTCGAGCGATATTAATCAGTGAATAAGCGGTTGTGGTGATAGTTGGTTGGTCGATCGGTCACGGTCGACATTGACGGCGAGAAGCCATGCCTACCGCCACCGCCTCGTAAACACAGTTGGACGTCAGACAGAGACACGTCACGAGCCACGAGCGTGTTACACTCTCGGCGTTGACGTTTCCTCGGGGTATGTTGCCGCGAAACCGTGCGAGACGGTAAAATGTTGTCGCTGCCCCTGGCCGACCGAGACTATTCGCTGACAAACAGGTGAAGATGGAAGATGACGCTGATCTCAGGGAACAGTTGTTTCACAACACCGTGCGGGAAAATATAGTGAGTATACATCTCTCCTCGAGGCAAATATCTTGTTACGTCGACAATTTTCTGCGCTCGTAAAAGTAGAATAAACCTGCGGTTGCGGATGTCCTTCGTACACTTCAAACGAGATTCTCGGAGCATAACATGTGTATCGCTTAATTGACGGATTATATTATCTGACAAATCTCTCCGTAAAGAGAATTCTACATTACGTTCTATTTTCTTTTTTAACAGCGCATTATCCAAATTATATATAATTAATTATGTACATATAAGTTCGATATGTGCCCTCGCATGCAAGATTGAACGTTAGAAAAATGTAGCGGAGTAATGGAGGAATTTTCGACAGGAATGAGATCGAGTTTGCTCGCCGTTATAATTAACCAATTGCGAAAATGAACCTTATCATGCCACGATGAGCGATAAACTCGTTTAGCATCCGTTCGACAAGTTCGCCGCGTTGTCGACGTGGATCGACAAACACAAGGCTGTCTCGTTTATTTATTTATTTCAACGTTCCTTTTCTTGTTTTCGATCGATTATAAGAATGTAGATGTTGTATTTTACGCATCTCTTGGGTGTAATCGAAATTTTGATTATTTTAAAAACAGAATACGATACAATATTTTGAGAAAGATAGTTTTTCTTTTTTCTCCTTGTCTTTCTATCTCTGCGAGATACGAGAGAACGTTTTATTAATGATGGAAATTGATTTAAATTTTCCGCTAATCTCGCAAACGAACACAGTTTTCAGGATGTCTACTCTCTGAAAAAAAACATGGGAAATCTGGAATTCTCAAGGATTTCTTTTGTACTTGGAAAAATCAAAATAATTTCATGGAATTTTATTGAATTTCAAATATCACGAACGACGCGATAATTATATAGATAATTATATTATTAGAAATTTCAATATTAGTCACATCAAGTTACCATGCAAGTTAATGATGATTAAATTAATTCGGATGGGAGAATGCTCCTGAAGCCATCGGAAACCGCGCCTCTAGGGAACTTCCGGTTTCGATTTAAATGGGAGAAACGACGGAAGAGTGATATTACCGGATAAGGCGAATTTAATTGTTGCAGTTCTGCCAGCTATTTTTATGATGAGATACTGCAATTACGATTATGATCAGATGTGCAATTATAATTGGAATAAACACGCGCTTACCAGCTGTACTTTTTCTTACCTCGTTTTTCGCGCACATTTTTCTGAATTTATTATATTAATACAACGAAAGATTCGATAAAACATATCGTGATACACTTGAATAAAGTAAAATAAAAAAGCCTTAAAAGAACACGAGGTATAGAATTAAGGAGGAACTGAACGGAGCAGCTACGTCAAAAGTTAATAAATCTAATACATTTCAAAATTCATGAATTTGACAGAATTAAAATCATATTCTACAGGGCAAATTCTTACTTTAACTCACAAATTAATTATTAATTTTATCTTTTATAAGATTAAAGATATGCTTTGCGCAAATATCAAATTTATGAATATCTTATAAAATTTATTAACTTTTGACGTAACTGATTCATCCAGTTCCTCTTTAAAGAGAAAGAAGAACACGTGCGCGTAAAGAGATCCCGTTTGATCGGTGATGACACGAGAAGTGCGAATAGAGATAGAAAAAACTCTCGGAATCGCGAAACGTAACGCTTGGTAGACTTTCGACGGGTCAATGATCAAAAATGACACGTGCGATAACGGTAATCAACCATATTACATGTATCTTCTCTTTTATTTCTTCTATCACTTGGAGCTCAATATCCTTATTTCGCAAACGAAGAAGCATTCTACAACTATTATTACTTTATTTAACTTTGCACATATATGATTTTATTTTGTTAATTATTTTTAGTCTTTCTTGTTCTTGCATTGTTTATCATAAAATAAATATAAATATTATATAGGTAAAGCTTCTTTGTAAGTGCATTGTTCTCGCGAAGGCTCGCCTTTGTCTCGCTTTCATCCGTCCTATTCTCAGCTGTCGGCGAGAAGCTTTTGCCAACCACGACGACGAAAATGTCACACATTCGTGTTCTATTTGTTCGTAATTATATATGCGCTCCGTTATTACATCCGTCCCCGGGCGAATTAATACGCCAATTACAACGTATACATTGTATTAATATAGCGATAAGAGTTAATAAGTAGATAAACGAAAGGAGTAGTATAAACGAAGTAGTGGATGAATAAATGAACGCTAAAGGAGTGAGAGAGAATATCGATCTGAATATAAGCAGATTAATAAATTAAACGCGCAACACTATACTGTAATAGATCCAACGATTCAGTTGCGTTGGAGTCGTTGATTGTCGCATTTATCGTCCGTGCCTAAATATGACCTCATAGAGAAACCTCGTAAATTTTTTATTACCTCGGTCAAAGAGAATTAATAAACTATATTATACTAATAAAAAATTATTTATATTAATATAAGAAATCGCACACATTACATTATTCGATGCAAAAATGTATCCATAGATATATAAAATCTCTAGAACAGCCAAAAATACTTTTAGAAAAAATCTAAAAACATTTAAAAATTAAAGTTTTCAATATTTCGCAAAAAGAAGCGAATCAATCAAGATTAAAATATTTAATCAAATCGGAAATACTGTCGTTTTTCCTCGAGAAAAACAAATTGAGAAATCAATATTTGTTGTTCCACTTATTAATATTATTAGCAGTTGTGCTGATTAATCATATCGCAAATTTTGCTGAACGATATTTAAAGAAATACGATGATATGGGAGAAAAATCGACAGAGAGATAAGTTTAATTCGCATGTGTAATAGGGTTTCGTTTACCGACGCACTTTTATATTTTTTTCTGCGTTGTAAGCATTCCTCTAATCGGTGCTAATAGTATTCAGTATTGTTTACGTAATGTTATTGCGACGATGTTTCTCAAGAATTTTATCAAGTGCTAAGAATCAAGAATATCTGGACAAATTTTTTCCGCTTTAGTTTATCTTTCCTGTCGTAATATAATCGTCTTCAACCATTTGGTTACAAAACCCACACATCTATATAATTTATAATAAGATACATCTCTTTCTTGATATTAATAATAATTATGAAACATAAATAAATTATTAAAATATTAATTATATATCATGTTTGTATATGTAACATATTGTTAACATGATTGATAATGTGTCTTTTGCAGATATTTCTGCTTCTTTTTTTGCTGTTGTACATCTCGAGTTACGCACTGATCGCACGCTTCAGACGCCGGGATCGCGACGATTATCTATCAGTGGACGAGGATGAAGCCACCGTGTATAGGATCAGTCTCTGGCTGTGCACGGTCGCCCTGGCGGTCTCCGTCGGCGCGACCCTCCTACTTCCGGTGTCTATCGCCAGCAACGAAGTGCTCATTCTCTACCCGAACAGCTACTACGTCAAGTGGCTTAACAGCTCCCTCATTCAAGGTGAAAATCTGCGCGATATCACGGGTTGAATTTATAAAAAGATTTGCAAGACGTTACTTGAGAAAAAAATAGATAGAATAATTTATTATGTTTACGTAAATCAGATCACGATACCAATTATAAGAAATACATATATAATGTCTTAGTAATTGATTGATAAGAAGAATATCAATGAGGAATTCCAAAATAAATACCTTAGATTCTTTGTTTATATCTCCATGTAGATATCGTGTTATAACAAAATATATTTATTGTCCGCAGGTCTATGGAACCACGTGTTTTTGTTCTCGAACCTATCGCTCTTCGTGTTTCTGCCTTTCGCCTATCTTTTTACGGAATCGGAAGGTTTCGAAGGCCATAAGAAGGTAAGATAGAAACTTGAAACATTTGTGAGGCCATGTCCTTTTTTATTATTTTTGATCATAGGGCGTGATGGCAAGAGTATACGAGACAGTAACAGTCCTCTGTCTTCTGGGCACTCTTGTACTAGGAATGACTTACGTTCTGTCGTCTCTGTTGGATGATAAAAACTCAAGTTTACACACATTGCTCAGTAAGTATATACATAGATCCAATACGAGAATACTAAGGAGGGATAAAATTCAATTGAGGATATGCGTCGATCTAATAGAATCCGATCTTTATAGATTTATGGAGTTACTATTTACCTTTCCTGTACTCCTGCGTCTCGTTCGTTGGTGTAATGATGTTATTATGTAAGTATCGCAAGTTTTCGAATAACACACTATCTACACG